TAAACAAACCAGCCGCACACGCCGCCGCCGCACGAAAGCATGGCCGGCTTCAAAGCTACATGTTTATGCGAGATCGAGAGGGAGAGAAAACAAAAATAAAAAGAAACCCCAAGGAAAAATAGTGCCCATTTGATGTTTTTCAACCGTTTTAATAAGATGTGGCTTTTGAAGAAACATCCGCTTGTTAGCTTCCATCATCACCAACGGGAAATCTGCGTTTGGCTTCTATAGACGAGGGAGGTTGTGAATATCCTTTGTGAGATTGACTGGGCCAAGTTTGCATAGGGAGAATATGCAAATGGCCTCGCACATGTATGCTTCTGACTAAACGTATGTGCCTCGGATTCAAGCCAGGGAGCTCTTCTTGCTATGGGTCGTATAACATGGGATTTTTCATTAGAATATTCAAAGGGAAATTACATGGATTTTTTTTTTTTTTTTTTTTATAATTGGCGACAAATAATTCAGAGTAATTCATTTTGAGTGGGAAAAGTCTAAACGCTTTTAAATCATTGCTAATTATTTCTCTCTTCCTCGACTTAGTGATAGGAGCAGGGTCGCCATAGATGAGACACATGCCAAATCTATTGAAAAATTAGTGGTATAAAAACCGGAGCACCTGGAGGAAACCTATGGGGAGAATATGCAAACTCTGCGCAAAAATTTGTCCTGCCCTATAGGTACACCACGTTTATTTTGGAGAGCTGAATATGCTTTTACATAAAGAAAAACAGAATAAAACGACGCGACTTGGAACAGGTGGGATTTGAAAGAAAGATTTTGACGTTTTCTAACGAGTTCCAGATGGTTTGTGGGAGAGACTTTTCCAGCGTCTCAATAAAGCAGATTTGCATTGAAATTAAAATGCTCGTATGTGAATAGTTAGACGACAAAATGCCATTCAAGCGTTTGATTTAACGAAGAAAAATCTAGTGAAACATGTATTAATGGGAGATTATGCTGTTAGCCTGCTCCGCGCCTTTGCTAACCACAGAACGAGAGCTAGCATCGTTGCGGTTTTGTTTACCGGCTACAAACACATTTTAATATTGTGTTTAACTAATTAATGGGGAATGTGTTAATATTATTATGATTTGTATTTATGTATATATATATTACTGCATATTAATTCATTCTTACCTATGTTCAACTAAACATTATTATTTATTTTTTTGGTGCTTTTCTTGTATTTTTGTGTCTTTGCGTATCTTGTTTATGTTTTATAACTCGTCACCAAAAAAAATAAAAAGATAGATTTTTTTATTTTTTTATTCTTAATTCTTGAGTTTTGTCCATTATTGGTTTTGTCATTGTGTCAACAGAACGTGTCTGTGTTTGCAGCTGGTGATTTTTACAGTTGTGACAAAGCTAGTGCTGTTTAATGGAGAAATGAAGCTTTTTAAGATTAAGATTTAGAGATCCGTTCGTCGTCCCACTGCGGGGAAATGTCAGTGTTGCATCACAAGTTATAAAACAGCAGGAAAGAGGAGCATATTTATTTATTTATTTTTCACTCTGTAGTCGTTAGTAGAGCCTCTTAAGTCTCCATTGTGTGATCGTTTCTAACTAGTTTTGCTACGCACTTTGTGTATGGACCGTGCTATACATATAAACTTGCCTTGGCTCATATATACGTCTCCTTTGAGCTGATTCTGGTCACATTGGCTGAGCTCGGATCGCTCTCTCTCTGACTCGGTCCCGTCGACTGCAGAATGGCCTTTTCCTTCTCTCTGCAGCACTCGGTAAACTCTCCTCCTGAGCCTCACCGTGGGACCGCGATGCAGGCTCCTCTGGCTCCTCTGGCTCCGCTGGTTTTAACACATACTTTTTAGCAGAGAAAGCTGTTGTTTTCAAACTTCCAGCTCGCTACACAATGGAGACCTTTAGGGCCTTTTTCAGCGCACTAAGAATCAACAATTGAAGTTACTGTCAGAGCTGTCCAAACTTTATCGACAACACAAACAGTACGAGCCGCTGCCAGATACTGAAGAGGGACGGGATCACGGGGACGGGATCACGGGGACGGGATCACAGGGACGGGATCACAGGGACTTCGGGCGTCTTCCAGATGTGCCTAAAATAAACATCTGCATAAGAGAAAACATTTATTTCAATTGTAATTTTGGGTTTCTCGCCTCCCATTTCTATTTGACAGTCATGTAGTTCCCTGTGCGTGTCAGAAGTCATTACAAAAAGGCGTTGGATAAGGATGAACAAATGACATGTGGTGAGCTAATGCTATCCTAGCGCTATGCTAATGTTATGCTAATATCGTTTTTTTCTTCTTTTTTTTTGCAAAGCTAACTCTAAAAATGTAAGATTTTAGGACATATATGTGTTGTAGAAATATCTAGTTACATCGTAAAATAAATCTGTAAGTAGATTAAGAACTGTTTTAAACGATTAGCTTTAGCCTGAACCCAGAAGTGCAGGCGAAAGTGAAGGCTCCCTGTTCTCACTCATGCGCAACATGGTCATAAAACACTAAATACAAATCATATTAAACAGGGCATAACAATGAGTTAGCTTATTTTTAAATCGCAAAACATAATTATAATAAACAGACCTAGCTTGTGTGGCTAGCTGCTGAAACGAGAGGAACGCACATCTGTTCCATTTTGATTTAATTGAATTCAAGGAAACAGTCGTGATCTGTTCATATGGAATGAACACATGTTGGGCCTATGTTTCTCTAATGATAAAATATGTGATTAGAAACACATCAAAGACAAAGCCAGTCCGGGTTTTCGTGACGCCGAACCCAGCTCACTTCTGGATTCTCATTCCGGCGGCGTTCTTGCTCCTCTATCCTTGCGTTTGTCCCAAATCGCAGGTCAGCGCTATAAATACGCTTTATGCCGTGTCCGTCATCTGCCTGGAGAGATATCACACGGCTCGCTATTTTCTGCCCGAATCAAAAGCGAAAGTATCGATCGCTCCTCGCAACCAGAAGGAGGCTTCGCTAGCTGAACCGTGAGTTACACCTCTGCAGAGTTTGGGATTTGCGGCCGGAGCGTGGCTTTGATCAGGACGTCCCGAGAGGCAGCGGTTGGGACACGCTTGTCCCCGGTTCAGATGAAAGAATATGTTTTTATGAATTCATTTTGAGCTCCAAGAACCTTTTTTAGATTTGGTAGTTATTTTTCTCAGACAAAAGCTTCGGGGGTGTACTACTTGGACATTTCTAAAGTGTTTGACCATGTTATTTAATTACATCTATTATTGTTCAGCCCTTATATTCAACTGCAGTCGCCTCCGAGGACTTTACAAAATTGTGAATTGGCCAAAAACAGACAATCACACAAATGAGCCATTGGTCTGTGTGTTTCCATGAGTCCATATGTTCTGGATCATCTCTGACTTTAGACCCGACTGCATCGACAACGAACAACTCCCACTTAGAAAAAGCGTGTGCTGGCGTGACATTATATTTTAGATTGAGTTTTGATGAAACAAGGAAGAGATGTGTTTCGGGTCTCAGATTGTGACCAATCACAGCGGACCACTAGCCCCCGCTTTCGTGAGAAAATCCACAGGTCTCTGGTTAGCACCATAGTTAGCACCAACAGCTGAGTTAGCACAACAAGCGGCAGAGGCTAACCTGAAACTTTCTGTGTCTTTGTTACTGCTGACTCAGCGAAACATCCAAAAGAAAGTCTCGTCCTCTCCGCGCTTCCCGGTTCTGTCATTCTGTGGTCAACCCTAACCCTAATACATTAACGCTAACCCTAGCCCTGATACACTAATGCTAACCCTAGTACACCAAGGCTAACTCTAACCCTAGTACACTAATGCTAACCCTAGTACACTAATGCTAACCCTAGTACACTAATGCTAACCCTAGCCCCGATACACTAACGCTAACCCTAGCCCCGATACACTAATGCTAACCCTAGCCCCGATACACTAATGCTAACCCTAGCCCCGATACACTAATGCTAACCCTAGCCCCGATACACTAATGCTAACCCTAGCCCCGATACACTAACGCTAACCCTAGCCCCGATACACTAATGCTAACCCTAGCCCCGATACACTAACGCTAACCCTAGCCCCGATACACTAACGCTAACCCTAGCCCCGATACACTAATGCTAACCCTAGTACACTAATGCTAACCCTAGTACACTAATGCTAACCCTAGCCCCGATACACTAACGCTAACCCTAGCCCCGATACACTAATGCTAACCCTAACCCCGATACACTAATGCTAACCCTAGCCCCGATACACTAATGCTAACCCTAGCCCCGATACACTAACGCTAACCCTAGCCCCGATACACTAATGCTAACCCTAGCCCCGATACACTAATGCTAACCCTAGCCCCGATACACTAATGCTAACCCTAGCCCTAATTCACCAAAGCATCAGTCAAGTTTAGCTTGTAAAATGTCTTAGTTTTTCCCTCCGCTCTCTGCCTAATTACTTATGTAAATACATCGTCTGAATAAACAGGAACTGGCTGTTGGCGGGACCAGTCCTCGGTGCTGGTTTGTGCCAACGCCGCACGGTTGTCTGATTACGCCGTGCATTTTATAGTAAACAATCTCTGACAAGGATCCAGCAATTTTTTCCTCGAATAATTAGTCCGCGGCTACGCAGGGAAGAGCTCTGGCGAGGACAATGCTTTCATGTTGCCGCGGTGATGGATGGGTTTTTGAATGGATAAACAGTAAGTAAGAGCACACGCCGCCGTCTTTACACGGCGGCGTTTGAAGGCTCGGATCGGCGTCTGAGCTTTCTGCTTTATAAATAATGATCCAATGATACAGAGTGCCGCAGTAATGAAGATTTGAATGAGTCAGCGTTCCCCCCCCACCCCCAGCGCTCGGCCCAACTTCACCCACAGAATGTTTTGGACGTGGAAGAGCAATGTTGGACAAAAACGCTAAACGCTCAAATATGGAGATTAATGACAGCTCTAGAAAGTTGTTCTTTCTGGGCTGATTCCCCTGTTGTCTTTTGTAAATGCTGTAGATTATTGGTTCTTACTTTACAGACTAGTTTGTGTTATTTGGAGGTTTTAAACTACTTTTATACACCTTACATACTAGCTTTCACATGTGTTTGGGACTAATGCGTACTTTTGGGAAATATTTGACAATCGTTCTCCATTTTCATGTATTTTCTGTCATCTTGGGCAATTTATAAGAGATTTCTGACCGAGGGTACATCCAAACGCATCTGAAACGCCAAACTTTTAATGTTTTTATTTATTATTACCTTTTAATTGAAGGGAGTCCTGGCAAGTTAATAACAGTAGGCGTCAAAACAATGGACAAAACCATCTTAAATGTGAATATAAACGATTCTAGGATCCGTGAATCACTCTGCAAACTTCTTTATTTACATAAATGCAAACAGCTAACGTGTTCTCCAACAGGATGAGGTCTGTTGTTGTGGTCTGGTTTATTCACACGATTCTGTCTTTTGGATCAAACATGGATCATTTAAAAAAACAACATCCCAGCTTTAAGAGTTTTAAAGTCCATTAAAATGTCTAGTTTGTAATTGTCGCTTCATTTTCTATGACCTCGATTCTTTCCCGGTCAAATTATTGTAAGTTTTGCTAAATCTCACATTACACCAGCATTGCAACAACCACCTCCATATCCGATTCGTCCGATCCCCGGTCCAGCATCCAGCCCCACACTCGTCTCTACACCCCACCCCCCCCCCCCCCCCCCCCGTTATAGCCACCGCGAGCACACATCCCTCCGCTCTCTCTATATATATATATATATATATATATATATATACACAGAGGTGTGTGCCATTACCATAGGCTGGATGTGTGCTCGCGGTGGCTTCATTAAACATGCAGCAGACAAGGCCGTTCTCCAAGACAGACACGCCAGAGAGAGGGGGTGAACCCGGGTGCCCCGGGGTTAGCCTCTAACAACCCCCGGCCCTCTCCGGCCAGCGCCAGCCTCAAATTCAATCTGTACATGCAATATAAATGGCTGGGTGCATGATAGAACAAGACTTTATGCAATAGTTTTACCGGTGGTTAAGACTGAAGCCCGGACTTTTGAAATATGCAATGCAAAGGAGTGAGTCTGACTGTCTGCGACGCGCCGACCCGGAATTTAAGGAAAGTCGTGCGAGCAGAATAGTTTGGAGTTTTCTCTGGAAGTTGTTTGGCCAGGTGAGATTATGGATTCTATATTGTTAGGCACAAACTAAACACATTCAGCAAAAGGTAAAGGATTAGGATCGAGAACGGCTTTCCACTGTTTTTCTCAGGCTTCACATTTTACACATTGATTAAGTTATATACAGTATGTACTGTACTTGCAATAGTAGCAAACAGAATACTTGTACAGTCTCACATAATGCAAATATATGTATCGGTGTTGTAAATATCGCACTGTTAGACGCTCATCTGCGTTTCGTTGCATTGTTCTGACTTTGTAATGACAAAGTTTAATCTAATCTGATAAATCGCAGCAGAGCGAGGAGGGCGCTTTTTCACAAAGATAGAAATCCTGGTTTTATTCCTTGTTTTGGCGTTAATGATTTGAGAATCATAACGAGACCTTTTTTAGTTCTGCGCCACATGGTACTTTACCAGTGAGATTAGCTCCACATGGTACTTTACCAGTGAGATTAGCTCCACGCGGTGAGTTCTGGCGCCCGGATCACAGACTTTCTGATTGGTGAAACGGTGGAGGGCGGGACATTGAAATGAAAACAATAACAAGATTTAGGGACTGGAAAAGTAATTTAGAAATTCAAATATCTCTGAACTACTGTTATCAGTTAAAGAAGTATTGGAAAAGAGCAGATTATTATTATGACAGATTAGGGCCCTTTAATGATGACAGATTAGGGCCCTTTATTGATGACAGATTAGGTCCCTTTAATGACGACAGATTAGGGCCCTTTAATGGTGACAGATTAGGTCCCTTTAATGACGACAGATTAGGGCCCTTTATTGATGACAGATTAGGGCCCTTTAATGATGAAAGATTAGGGCCCTTTAATGATGACAGATTAGGGCCCTTTAATGACGACAGATTAGGGCCCTTTAATGATGACAGATTAGGGCCCTTTATTGATGACAGATTAGGGCCCTTTAATGATGACAGATTAGGTCCCTTTAATGATGACAGATTAGGGCCCTTTAATGATGACAGATTAGGGCCCTTTAATGATGACAGATTAGGTCCCTTTAATGATGACAGATTAGGGCCTCTTTATTGATGACAGATTAGGGCCCTTTAATGATGACAGATTAGGTCCCTTTAATGATGACAGATTAGGGCCCTTTAATGATGACAGATTAGGGCCCTTTAATGACAACAGATTAGGGCCCTTTATTGATGACAGATTAGGGCCCCTTTAATGATGACAGATTAGGGCCCTTTAATGATGGCAGATTAGGTGCCCTTTAAAGAAGACAGATTAAGCTTTTAATGAGGACAGATTAGGGCCCTTTAATGATGACAGATTAGGGCCTTTAATGATGAACATTTTAAGGCCTTTAATGTTGACAGACTAGGCCCTTTATTGATGACAGATTAAGTCCCTTTAATGATGACAGATTAGTGCCCTTTAATGATGACAGATTAAATCCCTTTAATGATGACAGATTAGTGCCCTTTAATTATGACAGATTAGGGCCCTTTAATGATGACAGATTAGTGCCCTTTAATGATGACAGATTAAATCCCTTTAATGATGACAGATTAGGGTCCTTTAATGATGACAGATTAGGGCCCTTTAATGATGACAGATTAGTGCCCATTAATGATGACAGATAAATCCCTTTAATGATGACAGATTAGGGCCCTTTAATGATGACAGATTAGTGCCCTTTAATTATGACAGATTAGGGCCCTTTAATGATGACAGATTAGGGTCCTTTAATGATGACAGATTAGGGCCCTTTAATGATGACAGATTAGGGCCCTTTAATGATGACTGATTAGGGCCCTTAAATTATGACAGATTTGGGCCCTTAAATTATGA